ACTTAAAGGTTTTGTCATTCAACAATTTCTTTTAGATTGAGAGAAAATTGGTAGTATCATTAAGATAGTATAGAAACATATTTACCATTTCAGTAAATATGTATTTTAATGGTAATGGAACAAAACATTTCTGCATCAGAAATGACTTGAGTTGTTTCTTTGTATTGTTTAATCTTGACAAAGCAGAATGTTTTTGTTCTCTTCGATGATGGTTACTTTTTTTTTTTATTTTATTTTCATTTCCATGATGTGACTTGAGTTGAAGTAGAAAAAATTTAGTATTTGACTTTATAATATATTATGAAAATTGAATATGAAGAAGACATGTAGTAATAAAAGTGACCCATTAGTATTAGAGTAAGTTACAGAATAGTGTTGGAACAAAGTGAAACAATAGTGTTGAATTAAAATGTTTGAAGAGCTCAAATTACTTAATGACAACATGTTTCTATCAATTTGTATTAACACATAATATACATGTTTGTTTAAAATGAAAAACGTATGTTAATTCTACTTAAACGTCTGACTTGCAACTAAAGCAAAACAATTGTGTGCAACCACTTTCCATAACTGAATTAAGTAAATCCTACAAGTTTGTTTTTTCAGTGTACGCTGGAGCTACCACCAGGGACAAGAAGAGGCTGCAGCGTGTTGTACGCTCTGCTGAGAAGGTCATTGGCTGCAAACTTCCCTCTGTACAGGACCTGTACACTTCCAGGACGTTGAGGCGTGCTGGTTTATTGTGCTTGTTTCAAATTTTTGTTTATCATTTATCTTTTTGCACCAAGTACCGCAGCAATTTCCTAATGTTGATATTGCAATAAACCCTTCTGATTCTGATTTTCCTAACCCAGAAGGAACATTTAACGGTTTTCCAGTCAAGAACCACGTTTCCAACAGCTTCACACTGAACATTGAGGTGTGTAAATGTCAAGCAGAACCAGATGATCTGTAAAGAGCAGAGATAAGAACCCTGAGGTTTCCAACCATCAAACCCTCCACTCCACACATTGAGGTTCTGCCCATGAGCACAACAAACATGATCCGAGACCAGGAACAGCTCTGGAGGAGTCCACTCTACACATGTGCCTGACTTAGTGCCATTACCAACACAGACACAGCTCTAGCTTTGGTTGTACAAACACCGGAGCTTTTAAAAATGACCCTGCATCTTATTTTCCAAGAGCTGACAGAATGGACAACCAATCACACACACATGAGTCCTTCAGCGAGGATGAATAACTGGTCCACTGGTCCATGACTGGATGCAAACTTGCATCTATGAAATGATCTCGCATGCATAAACACACATCTTTGTGAGTGAAAATGAGTCAGTCCTAAACTATATTTAAAGACAGATTTGTGATTGGTTACTGAACAATAGTGTAAATCTGTTATTATCAGTGGTCACTAGTGTGTCTTCACTTAAAACCCAATGTGAGCTCATAAAGGAAACAGTTGTGTATCGGCTCATTAAGGGGGATCTCCTCCATAACATCATGGTAATGGTAGCTACAGTGGCTCAGAGGTTGGGTTTCTGGTTTGAAGCCCTGCTCTGTCCATGTCAGTCATTGTGTCCTCGGGCAAGGCACTTCTCCCGCCTTGCCTGTTGGTGATGGTCAGAGGGATTGGTGGCGGCTGTGGTCGGCAGCCTCGCCTCTGTCAGGGTAGCTGCGGCTACAATGTAGCTCATCACCACCAGCGTGTGAACGCGCGTGAACGTGTGTGAACGCCTGTTGGACGTGGGTGAATGAATGAATAACTGGGTGTAGCGCACATGCTTCAAAGTCCAACTTAGAAAAGAGTGATCCAAATCCAGGCCATGGCATTTACAAACCTGATCTTCAAATGCCAAAGTTCCCTCTAGATTTACCAAGTTGTTGTATTTTATTAAAACTACGACTGATGCATTTAAAATGGAAAAGCAGGCAACAACTTATTGTCATGATGTGGACCCAGACGCAGGTGAGCAGGCAAAAGAACAGTTTCATATGAATAATGGCAGGTAGGATGATACAGCAGGTAGACAAAGACGAGTGCGAACAGAGGCTTTAAATACAGGAAGGAGTCAGGAAGGTGGGTAGGATGCCGAGGGGAGACGGGACAACACGTCAGAGGGAGAAGGAGCAGATCCTCACACATATGAAGCAAATATAGTCATTTCAATCGCTGTTGCACAGGTTTGCTTAAAGATTATGTTGACCAAATAGTTCAACAACTCTTTATCTTACTATAAAAATGCATCTTCTACTTTATAACCCCTAAAACCTTTAACACTGCTATTTAACTCACTGGAAGGGTTATTCCCAAAATCTCCCATTAGTTCCTTTCTGGATCTTGAACCTTAAAATCTGCGTTCCTAGAGATTGCTCTGAGCTTTTCAGATGTCTTAAGCCTCCTTATCCCTGTGAAACACCCAGCACAGCCACGGCATTATTGGTTAAACTCCTGGTGAAACTACAAAACGTAACAAGTGATGATTAATGACGGGAAATTATACGTGCTCTTGAAGGCAGTTTTCCTCCAGACTGAAACACAACTCCGAGGAACGAGCTGGAGACAATCAGACAACAGCACGACAGAAAGAAAAGAAAGGACTCGTGTGCCATGTTTGCGTAAGTGTGTATATGTGTGTTTATTGGAGGGGTGAGTGAAACATACAGCAGTTACCATGGTAACTAAACCCAGCCCTTACACGCCAATCAGCAGGATTGCAGCAGGAGAACCCCTGCTGAGCCAATACTTGCACAAAGGGAAAAGCGCGAGTGTGTGTGTGTGCTCTTTTATTGGTCAGCCGTTAGCATCTTAAGTATACACACACACACACTGATACAGAGCACTGGCAAGCCCAGACACACACACACAGACACACACACCCCAAGAGGAACAAAACAGCACACACACAGAGAACTATCTACACAAAACCCCTGCTGAGAGCTCACACAAACATAGTTCAAAAGAGCCCATGAAACACACACACACACACACACACACACACACACACACACACACACACACACACACAACTGTGAAGTGCTGTCTGACAGCAGCTGAAGAGAAGTAAAGGAGAGCAAGAAAAAAGCTGTTCCGCCATTTGTCCACAAGTGTACTGAAACAACATATGCCAAAGTCGGCCATTTTGTTAATCGCTGTGTCGACTCAGCAGCAGAGCTGTAAAGAAAGTAAAACTAATGGAGCACAAACAATGACAGACGAGAGATAGGAATTCCTGGTGTCAGAACAGATTTCACTGTTCATCACAAAAAAGGTGGCTGAATGGAGGGGGGGGGGGGGGGTCACAAACTTTGTTCAGGAATGTTAACTCAAAACCACTTTTAAACTAACAGTTAAACCCTGTGTGTGTGTGTGTGTGTGTGTGTGTGTGTGTGTGTGTGTGTGTGTGTGTGTGTGTGTGTGTGTGTGTGTGTGTGTGTGTGTGTGTGTGTGTGTGTGTGTGTGTGTGTGTGTGTGTGTGTGTGTGTGTGTGTGTGTGTGTGGACACAACTTGATAAAAGTAGCAGGCTGAAATTCCTGTGCTGCTTTAATTCCTCCTTAACTTAGGATCTGGGTCTTTAGACCTCTTGTGGTCGTGATGACAGCTAATGCTTTCTACCGTCATGCAAAGCTACCTGTCAGTTCATCACTGAATCACCTACCTGTATAATGAAGTATCACAAGGTGAGGTGAACACCCTGACACTCATGTATATGTAGCTTTGACACAAGCTTGTCTAACAACTAACATGATGATGAAACTGCTCAGAGTGGCCGTCCTCAGCACCATAATGTTCCACACAACATTACGAGGATGTCCAGTAAACATCCCAGTACCAAGAAGCTAACCAGTGACGTCCAGCATCCATGCCCAACATGCAGGAGCTGCTTGTGGGGTCTTTTGCATCGAGACGTGGAGATCAATCCTACAGCTGAAATACGGTATGTACACCACAGGTGTCAAACTCCGGTCCTCTGGGGCCGCTGTCCTCCAGGTTTTAGTGTTTTCCATGTTCCAACACACCTGATTTCAATCAGCAGGTGATTAACAGGCTTCTGGGGAGCCTGATGAGCTGCTGAACAGTGAATCAGCTGCGTTGCAACAGGGAAACAACAAAAGATGCAGGATACCAGTCCTCGAGTACTGGAGTTTGATGCACACTAACATTAATATTATTATATCTATTATGATAATATCTCAGAATGATTCTTTCTGTGTTATTAGCTCTACTCTACATTAAAGATTTTGTGTCCGCAAATGTTCTAATCAGAGCAAAAACAACAAGCAGAAGAAAACAAAACTGTAAACATATGGAAAAGTCTCAGATTTGAAGGTGAGACAATCAGAAGCCAGTAGATGTGTCAGTGTGGGTAGTCATGACTCCTCTGGATGACACCTTACAGGGCTTTACTGCCACCTTATGGTACAAACGGGAACTGCACAGTTAGAAGACGTGTTCAGTCTGACTTTTTGAGCTGATTTTTACTTTCTTGATTACTGATGAAATGTTCCTAAAAACAGCAACAGCAGGAATAAATCTTCCTGCCATAAAAAGTTTATGTTGCTTCCTGTGACTGCGTGGTTCTGCCGCCCCGGTCCACACTGGTGTTACATAAATAAAATCCCCACGTTCCATCCTGTTCCCATGTTTAATACGGCTGTAATTACAAAGGAGCTTGTGCTTTTATAACAGTGGTTATTTTCTTACAGGGTACGAAAGTTTTTTTTAAAAACAAAACTAAAGAGCGTTCTCTCTGAGTGCCTGAGTTTGTTTTACTAATGTTATAAAGTTATTATTATTTATTTGAAACAGATCTGCTCACTATGCTCAGGCCAGATTAATGCTGATTTAAAACGCTGTGTGTGTGTGTGTGTGTGTGTGTGTGTGTGTGTGTGTGTGTGTGTGTGTGTGTGTGTGTGTGTGTGTGTGTGTGTGTGTGTGTGTGTGTGTGTGTGTGTGTGTGTGTGTGTGTGTGTGTGTGTGTGTGTGTGCGTGATCTTCAGACCTCAGAGACAGAACTGTCCTCTTCCAGGAGATCACAGTGCAAAGCCAGAAGACCCATCAGTCTGAGGACCTTGCTCCGCCTGAAAACCATTGTAGGTGAACATTAACACAGATCGTTCCAGCAACACTATCGACAGATCTAAAACAGATAAAAGCGGATCTGAAGCTTGAAACTCTTCGTCTTCGTCTTCGTCTTCCTCCGCTTATCCGGGTCCGGGTCGCGGGGGCAGCATCCCAATTAGGGAGCTCCAGGCCGTCCTCTCCCCGGCCTTGTCCACCAGCTCCTCCGGCAGGACCCCAAGGCGTTCCCGGACCAGATTGGAGATGTAACCTCTCCAACGTGTCCTGGGTCGACCCGGGGGCCTTCTGCTGGCAGGACATGCCCGAAACACCTCCCCGGGGAGGCGTCCAGGAGGCATCCTGACCAGATGCCCAAACCACCTCAACTGGCTCCTTTCGATCCGGAGGAGCAGCGGTTCTACTCCGAGTCCCTCCCGAATGTCCGAGCTCCTCACCCTATCTCTAAGGCTGAGCCCGGCCACCCTACGGAGGAAACTCATTTCGGCCGCTTGTATCCGCGATCTCGTTCTTTCGGTCATTACCCAAAGCTCATGACCATAGGTGAGGATTGGGACGTAGATCGACCGGTAAATCGAGAGCCTGGCTTTCTGGCTCAGCTCCCTCTTCCCCACGACAGATCGGCTCAGCGTCCGCATCACTGCAGATGCTGAACCAATCCGCCTGTCGATCTCCCACCTCCGGGTCGGGGGAGAGGTCCTACCTCAAGTGGAGGAGTTTAAGTATCTCGGGGTCTTGTTCACGAGTGAGGGTAGGAGAGCTTGAAACTCGTCTCTTTGAACTTTTCGCTACCATTTCCTGTAATTATAACATTTATGTTTCCTCCTAATGTGATGAAGACTTACACATCCCAGTTGGGAGCCTGGCGTAACTGCTGCGTCAGCGCTACGAGCTGTAGACATTAAAGAGGCAGAGGGAATAAAAACAAAAGCATTAACATTTAGAAGATGCCACTCGAGTCACATTTCTCGAGTCCTACCAGAGAGGAGTTCATCAGCCTGTTGGCTACGACTGTGTTTCCAGCCACACAGCAGAGGTAGCACAGCAGGTTGAGCCTGGATCGAACAGCTGTAGACTGAGCAGGAACATTAGAGGGCAGGAGAGACACGGACGATTTCTGTTCCTCAAAGCAGGAATGAAGTTGTAAAATAAAGGCAGTCCACTCGTCATCACTCAGAGAGAGCAGCTTTTCCACTGGAGAGGACAGAAGATGAGAAATCTATTTTCCAAGTGTGTTCAGGGATCTTTACTTCCTGTGTGACACTTAGCTACCAATCATAAAGCATACCTGAATAAGCGGGGACACAAAGGGTTTTGGAGTCGAACCGAACAGGAGGACTCTTGAGGATCTGGTAAGGTAACCAAGTTAGTTGTCCTTATATTATCTTGGTCATGTTGTCCCGTATCCAGACAACTTCAAACTCTAGAAGCAACAGACTCTCACCGTGTCTGGATCGATCGTCTCCGATTTGTTTCCGTTAGTAGGGGTGTAACGGCACGCTAAAATCGTGTTCGGTTCAGTTCAGTGTTTTAAAGAGTTTGGTTTGATTAATTTTCGGTATATATATATATTTTTTTTATTTATTCAATAATATCTGAAGCGGCTCCTATAGTTAGCAGAAGCAGGTGTCATCCCAGGCTGCTGATCTAGCATGATGTCTTTAATTACTTCACAGGTTATTAGTGCAGCTATGAGCGTCACACTCATACAGACAAGTGTTGTGTTTGACTGTTGATGCTCCGTGTTTTTATTTCTGCAGCGAGCCTTAAAAACTCACTCACACCGCCTGCAGTTTCTTCTTTAAAACTCGTATTAAACAACGAGCTTCCTCCACGCCGTATTTTTCCTTGTAGGATGAAAACATCAACGGTCACGGGGAAAATTCAGCAGACATGTTTGTTTACTTATTTGCCGCTGTGGGCCGGCAGTGCAAGAGATGGGAGGGAGGGGCGACGCGTCTCTACGGGCTCCAGCAGCAGCGACAGCCAGCTGGTTTGATCCGCTCTGAAAGGCGTTGATCACAATTTGCAGGTCACATTTTTTACACAGAGATCAGGCACGTGCAGCCATCATGTGTCACTGAATACAGCATCCGTGCAGAAACTCGCCTAGGAACTTTTATCCGCTGCTCTTAAATCACGCAATTAAAGATTCATTATTTAACGAAAAAAGAACCGAAACGGTACGCAACTGGACCGAACCGAACAGGCCGAACCAAAACGGTTCAACACCCCCCCCCCCCCCCCCGTGAACCATTACACCCCTATCCATTAGAAGTGTGATTAGGTCAAATAACACATAAACACACACAGTAAACAAGTCGGTACCTTGGGGTTGTCAACAATAGGAGTCACATTCAGATCAGAGTCAGTATGGAGAAGACGTTTCACACACTTGGTCACGTCGGCACCGGCGTTAGTCTGAGGACAGATCATAAAAACCAGAGGATCAGAGGAGTCCACAGAGTTAGAGGTCAGATATTTTGTTTGAACAACAATAAAAACCTCAGGTGCTGAGCTCTGTTCTAGAGAGTCCGACAGGCTGCAGCTGCAGGAACAGGAAGAGGTTAATTATACATAAACAAACATGGATTTCATACAGGCCATCGGTTTAGCCACTGATCAATATTACCGGAGAAAATAAAATGAAAAGTTCCAACAAATTATAACTTTTAAATCCATAATTAATATTGTTGTTTCAGTCAGCAGACCTGAGCAGGAAGATGAGCTCAGTGTTGTCCTGGTCCTCTCCGCTCTTCGGCTTCAGCCGAAACACGTTCTCTAAAGCAGCAAGAACACCAACAGTTCTTTAAGTACGTCGTAAATGAAGACTTATAATATAACGTAACGCATGCAGCAGTGGAACACGTTTACTGTGGTGGAACGCGCGTGAGCTGTGGTGGAACGTGAGTGAGCTATGGTGGAACATGCCTGAGATGTGGTGGAACGTGAGTGAGATGTGGTGGAACGTGCGTGAGCTATGGTGGAACGTGCGTGAGCTGTGGTGGAACGTGAGTGAGATGTGGTGGAACGTGCGTGAGCTATGGTGGAACGTGCGTGAGCTGTGGTGGAACGTGAGTGAGATGTGGTGGAACATGCGTGAGATGTGGTGGAACGTGCGTGAGATGTGGTGGAACGCGCGTGAGATGTGGTGGAACGCGCGTGAGCTGTGGTGGAACGTGAGTGAGCTATGGTGGAACATGCCTGAGATGTGGTGGAACGTGAGTGAGATGTGGTGGAACGTGCGTGAGATGTGGTGGAACGTGCGTGAGATGTGGTGGGACGCGCGTGAGATGTGGTGGAACGTGAGTGAGATGTGGTGGAACGTGAGTGAGATGTGGTGGAACATGCGTGAGATGTGGTGGAACGTGAGTGAGATGTGGTGGAACGTGCGTGAGCTGTGGTGGAACGTGAGTGAGATGTGGTGGAACGTGAGTGAGATGTGGTGGAACGTGCGTGAGATGTGGTGGAACGTGCGTGAGATGTGGTGGAACGTGCGTGAGATGTGGTGGAACGTGAGTGAGATGTGGTGGAACATGCGTGAGATGTGGTGGAACGTGCGTGAGCTGTGGTGGAACATGCGTGAGATGTGGTGGAACGTGCGTGAGATGTGGTGGAACGTGAGATGTGGTGGAACATGCGTGAGATGTGGTGGAACGCGCGTGAGATGTGGTGGAACATGCGTGAGATGTGGTGGAACGTGCGTGAGATGTGGTGGGACGCGCGTGAGATGTGGTGGAACGTGAGTGAGATGTGGTGGAACGTGAGTGAGATGTGGTGGAACATGCGTGAGATGTGGTGGAACGTGAGTGAGATGTGGTGGAACGTGCGTGAGCTGTGGTGGAACGTGAGTGAGATGTGGTGGAACATGCGTGAGATGTGGTGGAACGTGAGTGAGATGTGGTGGAACGTGCGTGAGCTGTGGTGGAACGTGAGTGAGATGTGGTGGAACGTGAGTGAGATGTGGTGGAACGTGCGTGAGATGTGGTGGAACGTGCGTGAGATGTGGTGGAACGCGCGTGAGATGTGGTGGAACGTGCGTGAGATGTGGTGGGACGCGCGTGAGATGTGGTGGAACGTGAGTGAGATGTGGTGGAACGTGAGTGAGATGTGGTGGAACGTGCGTGAGCTGTGGTGGAACGTGAGTGAGACGTGGTGGAACATGCGTGAGATGTGGTGGAACGTGAGTGAGATGTGGTGGAACGTGAGTGAGATGTGGTGGAACGTGCGTGAGATGTGGTGGAACGTGCGTGAGATGTGGTGGAACGTGCGTGAGCTGTGGTGGAACGTGAGTGAGATGTGGTGGAACGTGAGTGAGATGTGGTGGAACGTGCGTGAGATGTGGTGGAACGTGCGTGAGCTGCGGTCATTTCCACTCTTGCTCCCTCTCACCAGTTCTTTCCTTCCCTGCCTCCTTCTGCGGGACCCTGTCCTGTTTTGACGCTTCACTCATCACATGTTTGGCTTGAAGGCCGTCAGTCTCTGGGTCACATGACCTCGTATTTGTTACATTTGAAGAAGAAAGTTTATTTGACTTCCCGTAGCCTGGCTGGCTGCTGGACGTGTTGTCTGTCTGTCCTGGACGGAAAAGGCCCGGTGTGTTTTTGCTTCTGTTGAAGACAAAATAAAGTTTATTTGTGTGTTTCTACATGTAGTAAAGCTGCTGCTACAAAGTCTCGTCCAACTGCAAAAAGTTATTATTAGAGAATGAAAATGCAGCAACACGCCTTAGGTTAGAGTCTCCTCCCTTGCAGCCATTTTCTCCTCCCTTATCAATGTGTTCATCCCCCTTTGCATCGTCTTCTTCTGCCTTTTTTATCTGTGCCCAGAACGGGTGATGCAACAACTCTGGCCAGTTGAGCCTACAGACAAAAACAACAAAAGTAAAATCAACAGTTATTCTGTCATGAAGCTTTTAACACACCTCGGACTCTGAGCCGTTTATAGAAAAGTGAACACCTGCTCATTAGTCTGAGCGTTGGCCGGTCAAGTGGCAGCAGCACAAAAGCATCTAATGCCACTCTAGAGCTTTGTTGTTCACAACAAATGGAAAAAGGAAAAACAAAAGTTATTCATGGGAATACCGATGGCAAGAACCGCTGGGGTGCATCTGCTAACAAAAATAAAGAACATGTATAAAATATTTGAATAATCTAATCTGGTATATTTCTGGAGCAAAAATCTAAATTGACATTGAGATTTTGTAACCCTGTATAAATGATGCTGATGGTGTTGGTCTGACCTTTTATCTGGGTCTTTGTTCAGTAAGCCTTTCAGAAGACTCTGGAAGTCCTGACCTACAGAAAACAAATACGGTATATATGAAAACAGAAAAGAACATATGTGTGTAAACATCACGGACATGCTCAAACGCGTGTGCTGACCCGTCTGCCTCAGAGGTGGTGGCTCCTGATGTAAAATCATCTCAGTCAGGTCAGTGAGGCTATCTGAACTAAAAGGAGGTTTACCTGCAAAAGGTACAGTGCAGTATAAAATTAGCATCACACTGAAATGGAACAGACTGTATAATAAAGTGATGTTAAGGTTTCAGTGGAGTTTGACGAACTAAATCTGTGTTTAGCGTGATGTTTAAAAAGAAAGATGAAGAAATATTTACTCATAAAATCTGATTCAGAGTGACTTTCCGTGCATGCACGTGTTTTTGCACGTATGGAATGAGTACCTGCGCACATGTAGTAGAGAATACAGCCCAGAGCCCAGAGGTCAGACCTCACACTGGTCTCGGATCCCTGCAAAACCTCCGGAGCGCTGTAAGTCGGACAACCTGTTAAGAAAACACAAGCATGGTCTTAAAGACAAACCTGGCAAAGGAAAGCATCACAACATAAAGGTCATGAAGAACATTAACCCCTTAAACACCCAGATTTTACAGATCTAAGATGACAAAACAACGGCTGTTCTCGGTTTTCCTTCTCCACCTTTCACCGTGTCCAGTAGGCCTGGGGCTTTCTCATCCCTCCCAGCATCCCTTTCACTGCTCTGAAATCCGTGATGCAACACTGCACAGAGTCAGTCATGAGCTGCTCTTCTTTAATACTGGCTGCCGATAAGCCATTGTTAATATTTATATATATATATATACATATATATAATCCTTGGTAAAATCTCACTGAGGTGTTTAATCTCATTTCCAACGGTGACCTGGTCCATGAAAGCAGCGTAAAAAGTACAAAGAAGTTTACACAAACAAAACACTATATCCAGAAGATCAGAACAAAGAAGCACAAACATTTCTAGTTAATCAGAGTAAGGCAGCTACATCCTCCCAGAGAGCCATTTTCACGGTCCTTCAAGAGCGAAGTTATCCCATCACTGATCTTTCTTCTAATCTATCCTTGAAACTATTTTAAAACAAAAGTTTTACGTCACTCCGGTGAAATCTTGGCCTTCCTGGTATTACCAGATTTAGGAGCATTACAGCTTCATGCTCATCGTTTTAGTGATTTTTTCATAGGTGACTAAAGAAACCAGTGAAAACGACGTCCTTGTGACAGGCTGTTTGTAACAAAGAAGAAAACGTCATTCATAAGTCCATCACGCTGATTTATTTGGGTAGCTGGGAGCCCTTTTATGCTTGACATCTTCAAACAATGAAGTTATCCTTAAACTACCCCAGCGTATTTGTTCTGAGTCACGGTTCAAATAGACCAGCTACAGTTATTTTAGTTTTCCTCTTCTTTAATTACCAATTCAACGTGATAAAATCTGACCTTGTAGTTTTTTCCTCAGATGATCAAAGTTTTCTCGTCTTTCTCCAGCTTCCTCAGATGTAGAAAGCAACTTGAAAATGTCCTCCAGCCTCTCTCCTTCAGCTTTGGACAGGTAGAAGTTACTAAACTTCAAAATACCACTACCATCCAGAAGGATCTGAAGAAGGAAAATAAGCCTGGAATGATATTCTGTGTACCTTCAGTCCTCCAGCTTTATGAATGCAGATGCTAACCTTAGCAGGAGTCAGGTCTGACAGGATGACTCCTAATTCATGAATGTGTTTCAGTCCTTTGACCAAGCCCCATCCAAAGCTTCTCACCACACCTTCCGGCAGCCTCCCATCACGAGCAATTACAAACTCCAGGGAACCACCTAATAAATGCAATAACTAATTATTTCAGCAGAAGAAGAAAATCAATCTAAGAAAGCATTGAAGATAATATTTGCCAATATTTTAAAATCTATAAAATTAAATTGAAAACTGTGAAGGAATGAGTGACTAATGACTTGCTGACCTGTACAAAGCTCAGCCACAAGCCAGAGGTGGTTACTCGTCTCATACCATTCATAGAAGTGCGTTATATGTGGGTGCTCCAGATCCTGGCTGAGTCGAACCTAACAGGAGAGAATACTGACAAGCCTTTTCCAACATGACTCCAGCTTTGTTTGCTCAGACTTATCCATCATTTATTGTTTTATTAATTATTGGTATCAGATCTGTCCACGTCACCCAAACCGACTACTGCTAAAAGTCTGGTTTAAAACGGACTCTTACATGGTTGGTGACCAGAGGTCTCTTGGACTTATCAGTACAGATTATGGCCACATAGCTGAGATGGCCCTTTCTTCTTCCTTTATACACAACAGAGGTCCGGCCGGTTCCAAGCTTCTCGTACAGGATAAAGTTCTCCATCTTCTGTCAATGAATGAATGAAATGTGTAATTTTACTCAAACATCTACAAAACCAGAACATCGCACCAACTTAGGCTGTCACTATAGTCAAAGTAATTGTAGAAACGGCGCTTACAGGGAGGCTAGCTGATGTAAACCGGTGCACACCTGTCCCGTTACAGAGGCTTAATTCGCACAAAAACGTGTAACCTACGTGCTGTAAGCAGCAATAAAGTATGAGGTTCCGAATGTCACCTCATAATAAAGAACACCAGATATCTATATTCTAGCTAAAGTCACCTGTTCACGGCGGACTTGTACGTGTAAAGCTAACTTTAATGGAAAAGTAAGACGCTAACGGATGAGGGTGAAAAAGTTCGACACAGCACCGGCAACCGCTAGCAATTGCGATAAACTTGAACGCGAGTATATATTTTGAGACGTTTCGACATAGAAACTGAGATCATGGGAGCTACCTTGTGTATGTATTAACAAGTCACAACTTTTATATTTTTCTGTGCAAATAAAAGGTCCAGACCTCTTCAACCACCCGTCGCTGTGTTGGCGTAAGGCTGGTGGGTGACGTATTTTAGGGGGAGTTTCGGATTTACTTAAAAAAATTAACGTTGCTCGTGCTAATCATGGCAAATTAAAAAGTACATGAATTATTCCTTGTATTAATCACATATTTATACTTATTATTAACTCAAGCAGAATGTCTGTTGTTCTATGATTAGGTTTTAAAATGGGATACGAACCCACCTTTCAATGGAGTATTCCGGCGTTGCTAGGATACTGGGCCTGACGATAACAGACGGAACATGGATACTCGGAAAATGTCTGTTTTCTGTTTTCATAAAAAATGAAATAGTAAATCACAGAAACCAATCATTTATTGATGTATTTGCAAAGTCTTACCTTCATTTAAATACATATAAAACAATAAAAATAGCACTCCAATTTCGCTGTACCCTGCGAATGGAAATAAAAGGCTATTCTATTCTATTCTATTCTATTCTATAATTTTGATACGTGCACACTGTGAACCCCATCTTCCACAACAGAAAACATTAGTTTACAAAAGTAAAGGGACGTTTGCGTAAAAAGAGAAAATAATCAATTAAAAGAAACTTCTTCTAATTCACAGTGGCCGGCGTGCACAGCCACGCAAAGAACAGAAGGGGACAGTGGACACCTTCCCACCGCTTCATAGAATTTAAAATTACTAACTTGTAAAGATAAAACTATTAGGAGCATCGTTTCCTGTCGCTATTTCTTAGTCAACAAAATAAAAGCAGATATTTCCCCTTCTAAATCTAAATAAATAAATAAACACTGGTTACTTAATTTGTTGTTTATTCCCCTCATTTCTCACTGAGATAAAAGCATGGTCTACTCTGATGATCGGAATAAGAAAATAAATGGCATGCGAATGAGATTCATGTTCACTTTTATTTACTATGTTAAAACAGGATCTACAATTAAAACAATAGTTATAAATAATACATTACATGATTTAATTAATTTGATTTCTTAAATCTTATAATCTTGTTCAATAAACATGGGAATTATTATTATTATTATTATTATTATTATTATTATTATTATTATTATTATTATTATTATTTCTGTATGATAATGTTGAGTATTTAGTTTATTTCTTGGTCAACAATTGACAGAAGAACTCAACGTTTTATTTGTCTAGTCTTAGCCCTTAAGCTAGCTGCTATTGGAAGGGTGATCTCAGCATCAGCCAATCATGAAGAGCTTAAATGTATGCCCACCAATGGTGGGCACCCCCGTGGGTATATAAGTGGAGCGACTCCACTGTTTGCCTCTGCTATCTCTTCAGGCCAAGCTTAAGAACTATTGTTAAAGAGCACTATCCTAGAGCAAATTATCCTCATCAACCATGTCCAGCGACGTCAGGACCTGCCCGGCCTGCCAGAAGGGCTCCATCTCCAGTGGCGACCTTCACGCAAAATGTGAGGTCTGTCTCGGGGCTCACCACGCTGGCCTGGCCTGTACCCCTCAGGCCTTGTGCCCGTTTTGCCTTCTAAGAGAGCCTTCTAAGCCCTTGGGCTTAGGCTGAGCGACCCTCTCTAAGTAGAGAAATGTCCATTTGGTTTCAGCTAACCAGTGTGGTGTAAACTCATCCAGCTGTGCATAATTCCAATAGCAGCTAGCTTAAGGGCTAAGACTAGACGAAATAGATTGTTGGTTATGTATTGTAACCCAAGATTCTATGAGTCTAGTCACAGAGACCACCACAGACATTCGTCAGAAACTGTTACACCTCTCCCAGCGACGGAGAATGGTGGCAGATATGTCACTAGAGTTCAGGACTTTGGCGGCCATGACAACATGGAATAATGATGCATTAAAGGCAGCTTTTATTGAAGCCCTGAACGACAAGGTGAAGAATCAGTTGGCTTTGTGTCCCGAGCCACCCACCCTGGAGGGTTTAATAACACTCTCCATCTCCATTGACAAGAGACATCGAGAGCTTCAGCGGACTTCTTCGATGGATCCTTCTTCACCCCCCAAACACCGACAGCCCATCTCAAGATCTCATCCTCCTTCTGAGCCTTCAGAGGAACCTATGCAGCTGGGAAGGACTCACCTCACCCAGGAGGAACGACGTCATCGCATCAGTAAGGGTCTCTGCCTATACTGTGGACAAACAGGACACTATGTCCAGACGTGCCCGGTGTTGTTAAAAGGCAGAGCCCACCAGTAGAACTGGGAGTTCTGGTGGGTAGCAACACAGGAAGTACAACCTCCCGGTTCATCCTCTCCTGTTCAGTTATGTGGAACGGTCGACGCCACCAGGTCACGGCTCTTATGGACTCGAGTTGTGAACAATCACTTATTGATCCCCGATTGGTCTGTGACTGGGGAATTTCTACCGTTCCTCTCCCTGAACCCATGCCTGTTTCCTCACTCGACGGGAGAATGCTATCCACCATCACCCACAGGACTACGCCGCTCCAGCTCCAAGCCTCAGGCAACCACATTGAGACGATCTCACTCTTTGTGTTCCCATCTCCTCAGAATCCGGTGGTACTAGGGCATTCTTGGCTTACACAACATAACCCACACCTGGATTGGTGAGCTAACAGAGTCGAGGCCTGGAGCCCGGATTGCTACCAGAAGTGCCTCAGTTCAGCACCTCCTGTTTCTAACCCCCAAATTCCACTACCTCCGCTCCGCTCCGACACGAACGCCGGAGCAAAATCGGTCCCGTTGTAGTCAATCAGAGCAATTCCACTACTGCGGCCGTGCTCCGGCAGTGCGGCGCCGTGCGCCGCCCTCTGTTCCGGCGTCCAGCAAAAATAGAATCGATCCTACTTTCGCCGGACGCCGGAGCACCTCCGCAGTAAATGGACAGAAATCACAACGGCCCAACAGGAAAAGGAGCAAGCACAATTTCCGTTTTTCACAATAAATCGATAAACAAAAGGCGTTTTTGTTTCATATGCACAGGTTTAACAACTTTTAACAACTATCAATGGCGGCTGAAGTTTAAATGCACAAAAGTAAGCCATAAATACAGTTTCTACTATCAAAGTAGTCACACTTTGTTGATCCAAACACTGCTGATCTCTCAACACAAATGATGGGCAGATTAAACAGTTCATGCCGATGCTTCTCCCACACAACGGGTGTTTGGATCTAACTTCCGCGTTTATTGCTCGGACTGTATCGCAAGATCTCGAAAATACCGCGCATGCTTGTTTGCCCACCTCAGGTCTCCGGAGCGGAGCGGAGCCATTGTAGAAAGGGTACCAGTAAAAATTGAGTTCGGAAGCGAGCGGCTGCGGAAGGCGGGGGCGGACCGGAGCGGAGGTAGTGGAATTTGGGGGTAAGGAATCTGACATAACTCCTGTTGAGCCTCCTGACCTCACTAAGGTACCTCCAGTCTACCATAATCTACAACAGGTTTTTAGCAAGGTCCGAGCAGTGATGCTGCTACCTCACCGCCCCTTCGACTGTGGTATCGACCTACTACCCGGCACCCCGCTTCCGTCCAGCCGCCTCTACAGCCTCTCTAAACTGGAAAGGGACAGCATGGAGACCTACATCAGAGGCCTTGGCCAACGGAACCATCAGACCCTCAACATCTCCCTTGGGCGCCGGTTTCTTCTTTGTCGCCAAGAAAGACGGGTCTCTCCGCCCCTGCATCGATTATTGGGGGCTTAACCAGATCACCGTTAAAGACAAGTACCCTCTCCCACTACTGTCTTCCACGTTCGAGCCCGTCCAGGACGCAACTGTCTTCACCCAATTGGATTTTCGGAACGCCTACCATTTGGTTGGGGTCCGTCAAGGGGACGAATGGAAGACAGCCTTCAAGACACCGCTGGGGCATTATGAATATTTAGTGATGCCTTTTGGATTCACCAACCCCCTGGCTGTGTTCCAAAGACTGGTCAACTCAGTACTAGGTGACTATATCAATGACTTTGTAACTGTCTACATAGACACCAGAAGCACGTCAGAGCTGTGCTTCAATGCCTTTTGGAGAATAGACTGTATGTAAAGGCTGAGAAATGTGAGTTACATGTTCCTGTTGTCAAGTTTTTAGGTTTCGTTCTGGAGAGTGGGTGGTTAAAGGCAGATCCCTGCAAAGTTCAGGCTGTTACGGATTGGCCAACACCTACAACCCAGAAGCAGTTGCAATGATTCCTGGGATTTGCCATCTTTTATCGGCGGTTCATCCATAATTATAGCCAGACTGCCGCTCCACTAACACGTCTCACGTCTGTTGCTAAGCCTTTCTCTTGGTCTCCAGAAGCTGAGGCTGCATTCCGCGCAATCAAGAGGAAGTTCACGGAGGCTCCAGTTCTCATCTGACCAGACCCAAAGCAGCATTTCACCCTGGAAGTGGATGCTTCCGACACTGGGGTTGGAGCCGTCCTTTCACAGGTTTCCCCCTTGGACCATAAACTCCATCCCTGTGCCTTCTTTTCGCGATGATTGACACCAACGGAGAGCAGGTACAATGTGGGGCATCGGGAGTTACTGGCATTAAAGCTGGCCCTCGAAGAATGGAGGCACTGTCTGGAGCGGGCGGAACACCCATTTGTTATCTGGACTGACCATAAGAACTTGATTTACCTCAAAGAAGCTAAGAGATTAAACCCACGCCAATTCCGCTGGTCACTGTTTTTCTCTCGGTTGAACTTTGTAATCTCTTATCGGCCAGGATCCAAGAATACAAAGCCTGAAGTGCTGTCCCACCAATACTCTCCTGAGGACAAACCCGGCCCTGCCACCATCCTGCCACCATCCTGCGTAGTGGCAGGACTTACCTGGAAGATCAAAGACCAGGTTCTGGAAGCCCTCAAGGTCGACCCCGGTCCAGGTAACGGTTCTCCAAACAGACTTTTTGTTCCCCAGACTCTACGAGGAAAGGTCATTCATTGGGCTTATTCTGGGAGGTTCGCCATTCACCCCGGTGTGGGACGGACTCCGGCGTTAATAAAGCTCTACTTCTGGTAGCCTTCAATCTACAGAGACGTAAAAAACTGCTCTGTAGTGAGTTTTTTTGCCTGTCATCGACTAGTCGCTGTCAGATGATAATGACCGACTAGATGCAGTCCTCAGAAAAGACAGCAGGTGATGAGCCCCTGC